CCCCCCCTCCCCAAAAAAATATTTAATTAATATTCAGTTTGTTGCATTTTTAATGTTATATTTATTATATAATAAAAATGCAAATATTAAAATACATTTTAAATGTTATAAAATATTTTATTTCCACATTTGTTGTTAGCTCTGTTAGATTTGTTTGACATTTAAAAACAGTTAGATATTGTATATAGTTCATTAGAACTGTGATATATGTTTCTGATGTGAAAATAAATCTTAATACAAATTTTGATAAGAAAAAAAAATTCATATTAAAATAATTTTTTAAAATAAAAAATTCATTAACTAATTTTAAACATTTAAATGTCAAAATTTATATTTGTTTTATTGCTGTAATTATAAAATAAAAACATTTAAATATTAAGTTTCCATGAGAATGATGGTCTAGATGTGCTGTGTGGAGTCAAATTTCTTAAGATTATTGCCACATTCATATTTCTATGCCATTTACAATAAAATGATCCAAAAGTTTTGGGTATTAAAGATTTGACAGCAGTTTCGGTTGTTTTTACACAGCCCTTAAAGGGATAGTTCATCCAAAAATGAAAATGTGATGTTTATCTGCTTACCCCCAGGGCATCCAAGATGTAGGTGACTTTGTTTCTTCAGTAGAACACAAACGAAGATTTTAACCCAAACCGTTGCAGTCTGTTAGTCCTATAATGGAGGTGAATGGGAATCACGGGTTTGAGAGTCAAAAAAACATACACAAACAAAACCAAATTAAACCCTGCGGCTCGTGACGATACATTGATGTGTAAAGACACGAAACGATCGGTCTGTGCAAGAAACTGAACAGTGTTTACTGCAATGTCCGAACTGTCCTGAGCGCATTTGCGTCTTGTTCTTCAGCCAGCACGTGACGCGTCTTCTTCTTGCTTTACGGCGGATCGCAGCCACCTATCTCTCAAATGGACCATTGACACTCTATCTACAATCTCAGTTAGGAGTGTCAGTGGTCCATTTGAGAGATAGGTGGCGGTAATGCACTTATAAGTCTGCGATCCGCCGTAAAGCAAGAAGAAGAAGAAGATGCGGCATGTGCCGGCTGAAGAACAAGATGCAAATGCGCTCAGGACAGTTCGGACATTGCAGTAAATCAGAGGTAAAAAACTATATAAATACTGTTCAGTTTCTTGCACAGACCGATCGTTTCGTGTCTTTACACATCAATGTATCGTCACGAGCCGCAGGGTTTAATTTGGTTTTGTTTGTGTATGTTTTTTTGACTCTCAAAGCCGTGATTCCCATTCACCTCCATTATATGACTAACAGACTGCAACAGTTTGAGTTAAAAATATGTGTTTGTGTTCTACTGAAGAAACAGTCACCTACATCTTGGATGCCCTGTGGGTAAGCAGATAAACATAAAATTTTCATTTTGGTGAACTATCCCTTTAATTAGAGTTTCTGAAACTTTCCTGCAGAG